CCTGCAGAAGTTTTCACTGTATTTTAGACATGGGTCACTAGAGGTGTTGCAAAACTGTTAAGTTTTTTGGCTGTCCAGCTATAATTAAATAATAGTTCCTCTTTCAGTTCTTAGGCAGAGCAGCCTGAGGTTATAAACTCTGACAGCATACTTGGCTTTTTAGTGTTTTGTGTAGTATATTTGTTTTTACTTAATGTGTATATTTTTCAAATTTTGGTGAGGAAATTCTGATGTCTCATTGTTTATGTTGTGTTTGAATATAGGTTAAACACAAAGTAAGTATTCACATACTTGATTTAATTTTAATTTTATTGTAGATTTATAGACAGAAAATGTGGGGGGGGGAGTAAAATGTGTTTGTTTAAATAAACTTAAGCAAAAAATATCTTGATTATTTTTTCATAATTTTGTGATCCTTATCTAAGGCATTTGTATCAGTCATTGAGTTGCCAGCTGCAGAAGGAAATCCCAAGTGGATGAAACCTATTTGAATACAGTTTTTAAACATTATAATAATTGGTAATTATTTTACACTGGAAGTACACTTTAATATTTTATATATTGTCGCTGTTTAATCCACGCCATTTTGTGCTTTACAGTTGCTACAGCACGCTTGTAATCTGCAGCTGGCATTAACCTGTACTACTAATTGAATCCTACAAAATCTGATGATATGAACCCTGATATCAAAAAAAAAAAAAAAAAAAAAATCTGTCATCTGAAAATAGCAGAATTTTGCAGTTATTTTGCATGTCTGTAATTGACCACACCAGACAGGAGGCATGGAGAATTAAGATTGTGGTAAATTATTCTGCTATGCTATACTGACTGGATTATTTCTAACACCAGTGCCTGCCTCTTGGCCTCTTAATTTCTTGTTTCTTTTCCCTCTTTCAGTGTAAAGGGTAGAATGCAAATAGCCTCGTTCTGCAGGATTTTAAGTTAAAGGGAACGTAGTATGGTACTGTCCTGATCTCCTAGCATTGCTTAAGAGTTTTGTAAAAGTACAATACCGTAACATAGGCAGGTCCTTGAGATTGCAACAACAGTGTAATGTCATTAGCCTCACTGAAAGTTAGTATTTATGATTTTTTCACTGGCAAAGGAAGATTAGAATCAGGTTTCTGTGATTCCTCAGCACAACTGTAGATTATTTTAGAATAGCAATGAGAATAATAAAAAACATCAGTATAAGACAATCCTGTACGTGGCCATGTAGTTTAAGAAACGTACAATGCCCGCAGCGATGCCCAGGTACACTTGCAGCACGGAGCTAACGATGCCGGTGCCTTGGCCAGCGCGCAGGCCCACAGTCGATGAACCGCTGCTTCCTCCCGCGTGGGACCGTGCTGCGTGAAATCATCATCTGTGGCGTGGCACCGCTGACCTGGCAGCTTTAACCTCTGGTGGTTGTTCACTCATTTACTTGCTGCTAGGAATTCTCCTGACGCCCG